TTTATTTATTTAAAAAAGGATCAGATATTAATTTACCACACGATCTTAAAACAGATTGCTATTCATGATTATGAAGTAGATATTTTCCATATGCTTCAACTTGAAAACAATGTTTTTAATTATGTAAGTGCTATTAATTTTAAGTCTACATATAAAATTTAAAATTTTTTTATTAATTTAAAATTTTATTTATCATAAAAGCGAATCATTATTATTATTATTATTATTATATTTATCTTCAATATTATGATCATTATTATATTTATTGTTATTTTTATTGTAAACTAAATATAAGTTTATAAGAATAAATATTTAGTTCAGATCTAAGATGGAGAGTTGTTTATTTGAATTCAAAAGGTTATAGTAATAAAGACATTACTATGCTTCTTTTTATAAGTAAAGCTTCTGTATGTCGAATATTAAGTATGTTTCAAAAGTGGGGATATATCAAAAATCTATTTAAAGGACAACCTAAATGCAAAAAAACCTTTACCTGTGAAGAACTAGGCCTATTAAAACGTATCATTAAGGAGAAAGTAGATTTGTATCTTGATGAGCTCGCAGTTGAAATAAAAAACTATACACAAAAGCAAGTTTCTGTATCGACCATATGGCAATCATTGCAATACTGTGGTATCTCTCACAAAAAGGTAATTAAAATTAATAAAAAACCAGATTGTTATGAGAAATAAAAGCTATTAGATTAGGTTAGATTTTTTAATGCATGTTGACAAGGGTCAATGGATCTAAAAAAAAGGAATAGTCAGGGTTACATACTATGTGCTACAACCCAACCCCGATTAGGCACAGAGCAGAGGGCATAGGTCAGGATCAGAGAGCAATCAATTGAATGACAACCGCATGAATTTATACATGATACATAATAAAAAAGCCACCACCACAATTAGTATATAAGAAATCGATGAGATAGAATTGTGTCAACACTCTTTTCTCTTTAAAAAATAGTCTCTGGTGACAAAATTTTCTCAACCTACCATACATGGTAGTTTTCTAATTCTGCTATTTTCCTATTTAACAGCCAGCCTGCTTCGAGTAGACAGCAAACCATCGGCTGATGCTACCTCTCGCTTGTTCTACTGTTACAATGGTACCTAGCACAATCTCACTTGCTAAGTTTCTAGATGCATATTATTGTTTCAGTTCGAATTACTTAGCTAAATTACTCATATTGTATTCTGCAGACCTCAAGTCCTTTAATTGAATTTATTTCCAGCACCTTTGGCTAGCTGGCATTTATCCAGTAACTTGACTAGTCAGACCTATGCTGTTTGACTTTTAAATAATATAATCCAATTAACTTTATTCTGTTATTACCGTAGTGCACTGACCAAAGTACTCCCTTTTTGTATACCCCCCACTCAAAATACCCGGGTACTTTGTATAGCATTTTTTTTTACCCAAGGATAATACCTGGGTATTTTGTATAGCATTTTTCACATTAACACATATTAATTTCTGCATTACATATATAAGACCATACAAGGTACCCCATACAAGATATCTGTCACTGATCAAGATACCTACAGGTACTTTATAAGTTTTTTTTTTGGTTTTATTGTATTGGACCCCAGGTACTTTGATCAGTGTACTACAGTACTTATTTTTTTAATTAAATACAAAAAATAGCCTCTAAGAGAAATGAACATTTGCAGAGTGCTTACCTGGCTAATATTGGAGCCAATTATCATCTGAACTAGTTAATATTTATAGACAAAACTGGGAAAGATGAATGCAGTACAAATAGACATTATGGATATGCACCTATTTATACTCGAGCATGAAAAAAGATTATTTTCATTTGTGACAAAAGATACATGATTTTACCCACTCTTTCACTAGATGGTTTTTTGGCTATTAACATTATGGAAGATAGTTGTGACAAAGAGCGGTTTTACAAATTTATTTTATCCCAAGTAGTAAGTTAATTAAATTTTATTGCTATTTAAATATTAAATATTATTATTAAATATATATTTAATAATAGATTCAAACAATGAATCCTTTTCCCAGAAAGAATAGTGTTATCATTCTTGATAATACAAGGATTTATCAAAATAAAATGCTTGTTAAAATAGTGGAAGAGCTTGGGTGTCATGTAATTTTTTTGCTACCCTATTCTCCTGACTATAATCCTATAGAATCAGCCTTTAGTACTATTAAAAGCTGGATTAAAAGAAATAGGAACTTTATGAATTCCACAAATAATCTATTTTATGCACTCATGATTGCATGTACACAGATCACATCTGAAATGTCAGTAAACTTTTTTCGTGGATCGGGTTATTTAGAATAAGATTATTACTTATAATCATAATATATTAATATTATTATTGTTTTATTTGTATTACGTATAAATTGTTTTATATACAAGAATTTAAATATATAATGTATAACAAATCTGCGCAATAATAATAAATCAAGTAACACTTTTGACCACGATTTGGGTACAAATAGATCGATCATGCTATAGGAAGACTTTTGTATAATTGGCTATTTAAATCAATTTAATTTTACATTATTTATACAGTTTAAAGTACTTTATAAAAAAAATCAAATTATGAAAAATAAACTAAAAAGAAGTATATAGAAAGTTTTATTAGGATTGTAGGACTCCAGTATTAAAAATAATCAAAATCATTTATGGTTTTAGAGAAGTTAGAAGAGTAATAACCTAATTTTATCTATTTTTAAAAAGTCACTATTATGCTAACTTCTCTAAAACCATAAATGATTTTTATTATTTTTAATACTGGAATTCTACAACCCTAATAAAACTTTCTATATACTTCTTTTTAGTTTATTCTTCGTAATTTTAAAAAGTACTTTAAACTGTATAAATCAGCGTTGGCCTATGACCTGTTATGATCTATTGGCCAACTATAGGTTATAACCTTATAACCCATTATAGCATATAAAATTTACTATTATATTATGACCACCTTGGTTATATAAATGACCCAAAAATGGCCAATACTAATATAAATAATGTAAAATTAAATTGATTTAATCAGCCAATCATATGAAAGTCTTCCTATAGCCTAGATAAATAAAGAAATATATTATATCAATTAGGAATTAAGTAATGCATAAAAGAAAAAATTGATACTTATCGTGCTTATAAAATATGATCATAATTATTGATCGTGATTGTGCATCAGAAAAATTAAAGGCATATAAGAATAATATAATTAGATAATAGTTGTAATTAATTGTAGGTATAAAAAAAAAAAATAATAATATTCTATAGTATGTATATGAAAGCTTTTTCAAAACTTATACTCTTTTAGTAATAGATGTAAGAGTTTATCTATTCTTTTTATAACTATTATTTTGATATGAATTTTATTTTATTTCCTCACCAACCCCATCTATGTATAGATATCAGAGAACAGAAATGGTAAATGACTTGAAATGACCTGATAACTCAAATTACAAATGACTAGTCATTAGTCATTTCGAATGTCTAGGTCATTTAATATATATTATTTGATGTTCTGGCACTTTTTAACCAACCAGTTAATTACAAAATAAGTGCAAATTTTTTATATGATAATCATAACTCTTGGAAGTCAAATTTTATTAAGCTAGTCAATATTTGTGCTTTAAGCAAAGCTTCAAAATAACAAATTGCATATACTCCAAAAGTTTCATGTAATTTGAATAACTTTTTGTTAATTTATATTCACATTTATAGAAGATTAAGAATTTTCTTATTTAAATGCATAAAATGCGGAAGTGAATTAATAAAAAGTTATTCAAATTATATGAAGCTTTTAGAGTATATACATTTTTTATTCTGAACAACTTAAGACATACTGTAATAATGACTAGCTAATTAAAACTTATATATACTGTATATAGATCTATGGTTATTGAATAACTTTTTTATTTATCAAAATTTTAGATACAAATGACTCAAATAACCAAATGACAGGTCATTATTTGATAACTTGGGGTCATTTAAATTTTGATCAAATGACCAGGTCATTTACCATCCCTGGCAGAGAATAAATCATGATTATACTTACCGCACAAAATTTCACTTGAATTTAAACTATCCAGGATATAACTATAATTATTACTTATAAAGGAAGATCAGATATTATGGTACACTTGAGTTGCTAATAGTAAAATTTTTATGAAAAACATATTTATTCTTAATAACATAATATTTGACTTACTATATGATGATAAAAAAAAAACTTGATATTTTAAACTTCCAAACCTGTCAAATATATATATACGTATATACCACAATACCTAGATCTTCATTATATTAATATTTGTTCTCTGCCTGTCTGATATTCTTTCACCACCTAATTTTGATAACATCTAATTGGGTTAATTCTTAATCACTTAAGTCCTTAATAGTATTTACAGTTATTTCCTCCTGTTCAAATCTTGTCGTTAAACCTAAATAAATACCATTACCATTATAATTTTTATCCAACTCTTCAAAAACTTCCTGCAGACTTGGAATTGGACCTGAACTTAATATAACTACAGGCGACGATTGCAATTGTGATATTTGAACATTAGCTTTAATTGTATTAATTATGCCAAAGGTTAGATACGAAGGTGGTGTTTCGATAGTGTTAAGTTTATTTTTCTACAAATATTGTATTTTATATATATTTTTAAAATTAATTAATTTAGAAAACTGGTATTTTCATACTCTTGTACATATAATATAAATTATACATGTACATATATAAAAAGATAGAATATGTATCAACACAACCAAAAAATAGATATGAATATACCAAAAATAGATGCAAAAAATTTTAGTTCTTTAATTTATAATAACACTTACTATATCTCGTGCCTACAAGTGTAATCATGCAGAGTTTAATACAAGATGTTTATCATTTTCAATATAGCAAGGTATGCGTGAATGCCACATTGATACTTAGACCTAATTTGTGTGATAATATCGGCTAGTTTGATTTTATTAGTAGTAAGTTTAGATTCTTTGGGTACAAGATTCGATTTTGATTTTTTAGTTTTTAATTTTGGTATATCTTTATCCGAATTACTAGATTCTTTAATTAAATTCTATAAATATATATATCATTAAAAATATGTACGTACATAGTACATAATTTATTATAACTTATTATAAATACACGTGCCTTAATTTTTCTTTTTTTATTATTTTTTTTATTATTAGATGCAATATTTAATACTATAAATTTACTTGATTTCCCTATTTTTTAACATTCACTAATAAACGCATTATAGTCATCTTTGTTATCTAAAGCCATTGCTTGTCCATGACTATTAATTTTATAAGAGACTTGAATGTTATTTTTATTAAAATTATTATTATTAATGCATTCTTGAATATGCTTAATTAGTTTATCTTGAAAAATGTCAAAATTATCAGATTTAATTGTGAACCATTTTACTAGTATTG